TCAGCCATAAAATTATACACTTTGAAAGAGCTCTATTACTGAAAGAAAATTGTAGAGGGTATTAAAGAATTAATGAAAATCTGTCCCTTTAAGTATCAAGACTGTTGTTAAAGGAGGCATTACTTATTATGAACAGGAAAAAACATTCCAATTTGACATGGACAATTATTACGACATTTGCCATGACTATCTTTTTAAATGGTTTTCATCCTTTCAAGAATCTGATTCTTTTACATGAACATTCCTAAATACTGATCCAACATGGGAACAAATGAAATAATTGTGTTTAATAACTAGAAAATAGGAGAATCAAAATTGATGATAGGGCTGGCACATACTCCCTGGTAGCACACGTGCTCTGTGTAAAGCCCTGGATTCAATCTCCAGAACATAAAAAAATAATAATTAAGATTATGATAATGTTCTTTTCAGTAAGTGTGATTGGACAGTGGGCTCCTACTCTAGTGAACAAATTGACAGGCAGCCCTAGAAACTGTTCTGATATTCACCTTTTAGCATTGTGCAATGGAAATGCTCAGGATCTGGGTAAAGAAGATGTGGGTAAAGCTCATAGTTCTGGCACTTAAAAGCTGCCTGATCCTGGATAAGTCATTTCACACAAAAGAACTTGAATTTCCATAAAAAAGTAAATATAAACTACCTCGCAGACTTATTGTGAGGGCTTTATAGAGTCATGTATGGAAAGAACCTTGCCCAGTGCATTAGAATGAGAATAATAGTAGTACTTTTTCATGAATCCTGTTAAGCTGGTGTTGTTCCAGATGACTGAAAGAGAAGCAAGGCGTGTTTATATTCAGAATAGACTTTTGAACAACATAACTGCCAACTGCTTCAGAATTCTTTGCAGCGGGCGTGGTGGGACACGCCTATGTAATCCCAGCACTCAGGATGCTGAGGCAGGAGGATCATTGTGAGTTCGAGACCAGTCTGGGCTACAAAGCGAGCTCAAGGCCAGCCTGAACTGTATAGTGAGACCCTGTCTCAAAAAAACAAAACAAAAAAAAAAAAGAGACACAGAATTCTTTGCCCTTCAGGGAGCTGGGCTGGCAAATGTGCAAGGAAGGCAGCAGATGAGTTCAAGATGCTCAGTGCCCTCCTTGTTTATTACCTGGGACCCACGGGGTGAGGTGGAACCATGTGAAGGGATGAGCAGGGTTGCTTTTTTTTTTTTCTTTTTTTTTTTCAGATTTAGATTCAACATTCATTTTTTTGAAAGGCCAAGATGACAGCTGGTGTTTGAAAGCTTCTCACTCAAAGGAAGGAAAGGTAGTATATTCTACTGTGAGATGTGAAATTTAAAACTCTGAAAGGTAAGAGTATCACACATTTTTAAAACGTCACATGATAATAAAACCCAGGAAGATGTTATGGACAGGGAAATGGCTATGTTTCTTCCCTGGTTGATTATAAGTGCTCAACAAACCTATGCTGAGTTGAACCCCAAATTTAGATTGCAGTATTGGCATTTCTAACCCAGCAGTCAGGGTCGTTTGTCTTGGAGCTTCACTGATGGAATCCAATACCCTCTGCCTTGCTGTTTTTTTCACAGTGTTTCACATACATAAAGGAAAAAATCAGGACACACAGCCTATTGACTCCATTTGACCCTTGGAAGGGGATATGAAAGACATTTTGTTACGTAAGTCATACCATGCTAAAGTTGCACCACGATGTTCTACCAGAGGTAAAGAGCCTGACACAAGCTGTCAATGAAATGCAAAGGAAGAGCCTCGTTAGCTGAGAAGACCATATTATATGGACTCCAGACTGGAGTACTCTGCCTGCAAAATATACATATACTTACAGGACAATAAGAGAGAATATTTAGAATCAAGAAGATTGTTATCAGTGGTCTGTCCAGTGTATTGGAAAAGACACTGAAAATCTAAAATTCCACTTCTCAGTTGCTAGGGTTCTTTTCTTTATGGTTAAAATACAAACAAACAAAAAAAATGACTCTGAATTAAGGCTATTTTTTCCCTCCATTTCTTTAAGATATAATGCAGTGGATTAGATCTGAAGGAACTTTTGAGTGAGAAAGCCTGAAGATACGTTCTCTTCTTTCTCTGAGTCATAGAGAACTTTACTGAAGTAGCTGCACAACTACAAATCTTTTCCATTCTGCACAGACCTGAAGGCTGGCAGGCAACAGTGCACTGCATGGTCCTTTACCTTTCCTACATGCAAAGACTACATCAGGCTGTTCAGTCTGAACGTGGCTTCAGAAAGCTTTAGTGTGGTGAGAAAGGCTGAGCTTTTCACAGCAAAAAGCTGTGCTCAGCTCTTCTGTGTTGCGGTGTCATCAGCCTCCGTGCCCACATAGCCCTCAGCTTTCTCATTCCTAAGTGATTTCCTTCTATCTAATCAATGCCCACAGTCCCACAGCCTGATGGTTTAGATAAACTGTGTGTCAAATCCTGTCAGCTCTATCACTTCTTTGTGGGAAGGTCAAGTTCTCCTTTGAAAAATCTGAAGGGCATAGAAATAGTACTACTGCAGACATGTTTAGAGTGTAAAGCGGACTACAAAACAAAATTCCTTAGTGTGCACACATAGCTTTCTACTCTTAAACTCAAGTGATTTCCTTAGGGCCGTCATCTACAGCCTCACTCACTCCACTACTCCCTTCTGCACTGATCACTGAGTACTCTCTATGGACTCCAGGCCTCAGTACGCACTGTTCTCTCTGTCCTTCCTCACTTTCTCTGGTGGAAAACTCACCATCAGCTGCAGCTTCTCGGTAAACCAGTTTCCAACAATCCTGGAAATTTTTGCAACTCCCTTCTCTGTGCTTTTGTAAGCCTCGATTCATATCTCTCTTAGAACTCTTGTTACATACATCACAATTCGGTGTTAGACTTAACGGGTGTGATCCTGTCTCGGTCATCTAGGGATTAACACAGCTTCTAGCAGATAGTACGCATTTTTTGAGTGGGTGAATTAATGAGTGATCATTGTCTACACTGATTGATTTTTCTGTCAAAGTAGCTTAGCGACGTTGCTTTCAGTATGAGAATCTGTTTGATAAATAAGTGTAATAGGAGGAAGAGAGCAAAAGCAATAATTGCAAAGTTCTTAGAGAGTTGTAGGTTATTTCAAACTTACCCAAAGAAGTGAAGGAGAAAATCTCTAAATCAGAATGTTAGTTTACAATAACTAAGAAAAAATGTGTTTATAAAACCATCTGCACTTTCACTTCTCTCAACAGAGTATAACAGAAGAAAAACGATACACAAACGTCATGTGGCACCAGAAGAGGTCTTTAAAAAGATCAAAAGAGGGTTGAAGGTTCAGTAGTAGAGTTCTTACATGCACAAGGCCCTGGATTTGATCTCCAGGACTACAAAAAGAAAAAAGATCAAAACAATAGATTTTTACAGTTGAAAGAGACCCCTTGGTTATCCAGTTTAATCCTCTACTAAGTATAAATTTGTATAATATCCCAGATAAATGATGAACACTTCCAGTGCCGGGGAGCTCATTACTTAATAAGGTACTTGATCTTTTACTTTGGTGATTATAGAGTCCAAATTGAGCCTAAATATGCCTCCTTGTAATCTTAGCCATTGAGCCTGGCCCTTTCTTCTTAAATCACAAAGAATATTTCATCTTTATGATTGTCCTGTGAATAATGATATGCAGCCATCCCAAGACTTTTTCAGACTTCTCCAATTTATTCAACTACTTCTCACATGTAATGTTTGTCAACATTTTCACCAAACTAATTTATATCCTCAGAATATGTTCTAGCTTCTTTTGAATGCTTCTAGAATGGAGCCTGGCGCAGGCTCCAAGTGAGATCTGCCCACGTGGAGAACAGGGCTAACACACATGTCTCTCCTTCTAGGCTATTCAAACTTTTACTGGCATTTCCTTGAGGTAGAGTCATACCTCGGTAGTGGATAGCAGAAAGAGGCTGACGCGAAGCCTGGATGGGACAGAGCTAAGAGAACTGACCCAATCCTGGAAATGGCTCTTTTGTTGGGAGGAGAGCTAACTACACCCTCACCATATCAAGGATATTCAAGGGATTTTGTTGATAGGTGGGAAGCAGGCTGTAGCAATATTTGAAATCAGACAAGCGGTTGCATTATTCTTCCATTAGGTTTTGGAACAGGTGCTCAATCGTCATTTGGAGAAGAGGAGAATCAGGACCTAACTGCTGGGTAAAGAGGTTGCAAAGCAGTAGGCAGAATAAAATCAGGAAGACTGAGGTTCAAAGAAGGGCTGTATTTTAATGGGAAACAAAGGTAGTAAGAATCAAAGTGGTTCTAGAGTCATAAAGAGGTTGGTTGAATTCCATCACTTCTACTTTCCAAACCTAAATTACCTCCAGTGAAAATGGGGATAATAAGCTAGGTATGATGGTACACAACTGTAATCCTAGTACTAGGGAGGCTGAGACAGGAGGATCATGAGTTCAAGGCAAGCTTGAGCTACATAGCAAGGATCATGTGTTCAAGGCAAGCCTGAACTACATAGCAAGAGTTTGTTTCAAGAAAAAAAATGAAGATAACAGTATATACTTTACGGGACTTCTATAAAGAATTAGTGGGGTAATGTATGTGATGTATGGAATATATATAATGCTTGGTAAATATTGTTACTTCATATTAAAATGCATTAGTCAAATGAAAATTAAACAAATTTTAAATAATTTTACTTTTGAAGCTTTCAAAATTATGTACTAAAAGCATATTCAAACATTTTTTATCACAACAAAAATACTCATTTAAAAAATATTAGAAGTGATATGGATCGGTTGAAAATACCTTGCAAAATAAGCATAGCATATATGACTCTATCATAATAATTGTACTAGTAATGTGGTTATAAAAAATATCCTTTACCTCAGATTTTATTCTTAAAAAATAATAACTTTATCTTGTATCTTTAGAATCAGAATTTTTAATGTGCACTCAATATCACAAGAAAATCAGAATTTTTTCTCATTGGTACAACTCAATGTTTTTAGAACTCTGCTAATCCCGTTATCCAGGATGTTTTGATTCTATTATCCGGTTATCAAAATCTTAAGAGGAATGGGCTCCACCCAATGGGGGCATGCTGCTGCTTTGGCCCTGTAGTCGAGATCCAGAGATTGGGAGTAACATTATCTGTTAACAATCAAAAAGCTTCTTGGTAAGCAGAAGGCCTATATATAAAGTCACACCTGAAGGGACCACAGAACAACTCCTCAGTTCTCTCAAGTTTGCTCAGTGTTAACACAGCATCAGCTGCTGGTACATCTGAAGGAGGATCTTGTCTGAAGTCATCCTATGGGTAATTCATCTTCAAATTTTTCCTTAAAATTTCTTGAGATCTTTTAAATAACCATGCAAGTATTTAATGTGTACCATTTCCTGCAAAGATCATGCTGTTTATTCATGGTAAAATGTTAAGGGGAACTGAACTAAATTAAACATAAAACGAAAGATAAATTTATGCCAAGAAAAGACTCACTTTTGTGATTAAACCCTTCTGAGATACTATGATGAACATTTGGTATGATATGTTTTAGTAGTCTTTTTATCTAAATTTTAAAGTAAAATAGAGTGGTGGTAAAAAATAGTTTTGATGTGAATAATATAAATTTGTTAAATAAATCTCCATTTTTCCTGCAGTGTCCTTACCTAAATGTTTATGTTATGGTACACAGAAAGCTTGATCTATATATCAAGGTTGAGGGCTGGGGATATAGCTCAGCGGCACAAGTGCCTGCCCTGCAAGCACAAGGTCCTGAGTTTGATCCCCAGTACCCAAAAAACAAACAAACAAAAAATATGTATACCAAGGTTGGAGAACTCCCACCGATTGCTGAATATGCATTGTCCGTACATAAAGGACAACCTTTTTTAGTTTTCTTTTCTGAAAATTGTACATGAGCTTTAAAGATGGTAAAATATCATGTTTTGGCTCTTTCTCATACACATCCTATAAGAAGTTTGTGTTCCTCTTAAGAACAAGGAAATGAAGCAGAGATTTGTGAGATGAACAGGACAAAGCTAGGATCAGACACCAGCACCCATGTTTTTCGGTTGTTCTTTGTAACATAACCTAAAAAGGAAACTTTTCTTTGTTGTTCCATCCATATCTGTACAGTATACAGTGAAAAAATGCAGTGGATTATAATCTTTCTTATGCTGCTTCTAAAGCAATTTCTTATGCAATTTCCCTTTAAGATAGGAGAACATAGCCACTGTGTCTGTTAAAGATACAAATAGAGCATTTAGAAAACATGCTTCTCCCATAACAACCTTTGCAATTATTGACATGCAAATTAAGGGAAAATATTCTATATTTATACACAAAGTTTTATGAACAAGAAAAGAAAGAGCTAAAACTTACATATACTAAAAGTATATGTGTTAGTTCAATAAATTGAATAAATAAAAAGCAGCCCAAACTCCCAGTGCATATCACAAATAATTAGATGCTTTATAAATGTTTTTGTGTATATTTTTCTTTTTTATTTTATGGAACCGGGTATTGAACTCAGGACCTTGCGCTTGCCAGGCAAGGCACTGTATCACTGAGCTATATCCCCAGCCCCTGTGCAAGTTTTTAATGACAGGAGAAATGCGCATTTATTCAATAAAACCTCAAAATCAAACAATAACTCAATAAGCAGTGATAACATTTTACCTAATTAAGACTAGTTAATTTTAAACCTCTTACAACCATTTGTGAATGACCAACATAAAATATAGAAGAAAATTCTCAAAAAAAATTTTGCATTCATTAAGTGGCTCAAATTTTATGAATTAAAAGATCTTGCCCAAGAACTCTTAAAAAGATACCTATGAAAGTACAAGTCAGTGTTAGCTGGGCACTATTACAGTTCATGCCTCTAATCCCAGCACTCTGTGAGCCTGAGGTAAGAGAACCACAAGTTTGACTATGACCTGGGCAATTTAGAGACTTAGTGAGATCTTGTCTCAAAACAAGAAAATTTGTTTTAAACCTGGAGAGTGTATCTCAGTGTGTCAGTGTGAAGGCCCTCGGTTAAATGTCCGGTACTGATGGAAAAGTTATCTTTCTAATTTCTCAAAGTATATGTATGTGTAATGTTGTAATGTTTCCATGATATGAAGAGGCTGATCTAGAAAGCTTCTCTTGAAAACTAACCCAGTTAGTTACTGGCACATTTTGTTATTGGCTATATGGTTATAAATGAGAACTACTATCTATGTATTTATATAGTTTGGAACACTAAAATTTTCTTCTTTTTTTTAGTGAAGATGATGTCTGCAAACGACATGGCTAAAGTCATGATTGTCATGCTTGCAATTTGTTTTCTTACAAAAACAGATGGGAAACCTCTTAAGTAAGTATGGGAGCCTATTCTGTGTAGTGAAGAAAGGCATGGAATTGGTTTGGAAGGTTGACTTTACATTTTGGTGATGGAAAGCTAATGGAGTGGCCCCTCTGCTTCTGTTCTTCCTAGGAAGAGATCTGTGAGTGAGATACAGCTGATGCACAATATGGGCAAACATCTGGCCACCAAGGCGAGATTGGAATGGCTGCTTAACAAGCTACAGGAAGTGAAGAATTTTGTTAGCCTTGCAAATTCACTCATTACCAAAGAAGGTGGTTCTCAGAGGTCCCCTAAGAAGGAGGACAATGTCCTTGTTGACAGCTATCAAAAAAGTCTTGGAGAAGCAGACAAAGCTGATGTGGATGTATTAGTCAAAGCTAAATCTCAGTGAATAAAGACGTGATCAGGATAGTGCGCGAGCTGGTGTAGAGCAACAATACTAAATGCTGCTTGCTTTTCTAACTTCTTAGACAATCAAGAGCCAATATTTCTAATATGACTAAACTTTGCATGTAATTCGTTGCTAGACAGAATGGCTGCAATTTTAATTGATTATTCCACTTGTATTCATCGAAGAGCTCTTTAACCTGCTTTTGTTGTTTATTCTTTTTAAAGTATGTTATTACATAATTTATAAAAGAATAAATTATACCTTTTCACCTGTCATTATAATGCAAAATAAAAATTTAATGATCATTGATGTAATTAAGTGAAGAGTTTCTTACTTTTTAAAAGTTTATGTTTTGGTTATGACAAACACCCAAATGTTTATATGGACATGAATAGAAGGAGTAACACAATTTTTTTCCAATCATGTGTTTCACAGTTTGATATTTGGAACATAATCTGTTTCTAATACCAAACACTAGCTCCGAACTCTCACTAGCTAGACACTGCTGTTCTGTTCTTTTTAGGAAAAACAACAAAATGTCCAGGCAAAAGGGCAGAAAATAGTCTAAAACTTGACTGTAAAAGTGTTTGGGTCTACATAGACTCACAGATGACATCTCTACTCTGAACCACAAATTGCAAAGAATATGAGCCGGGTGTGGTGGCACACATCTGTAAACCCAGTATTCTGGGAGGCTGAGGCAGAAGGATCAAAAGTTTAAACCAGCCCAGGCAAATTAGCAAGACACTATCTCAAAATAAAAAAAATTTAAAAAAAATTAAAAAGTGTTGGGGTGTAACTCAGTGTGAAGGCCCTGAATCAATGCCTACTACCATACAAAAAATTATTATTGACAAATACTATGTAATGTCCTTTATTTGGGATATACTTGCTTGTGTAGTGACATTTTTCTGTCTTCATGGAACCTGTAATTTAGGCATTAGTTCATTATTAGCTTTTTTGCAAGGGGAGAGCACTGGGAATCAAACTCAAGATCTTGTGCTTGCCAGGCAGGGGCTGTGCTGCTGAGCTACACCCCTGGTCCTCATTACTAGCTTTGATGAGTGTTATATAGGAAAAATATAACGTGCTGTAGTAGTATAAACTACAGAGCCCTCCTCTATTTAGATCAGTGTTGTCTGATCACAGAACCTTCTGTGATGACAAAGCATTCTACACTTTGTGCTGTCCTCTATAGGACACAGATGCATTTATATAAAATGTGGCCAGCGGAATTGACAGTTAATTTTATTATGTTTCCATTTATTATAAATTTAAATAGCTACAAGTGGCTAGTGGCCATTATATTGACAAGTGTAAATCATTGTCAAGACTATCTTCCTAAATCAAAGCAATGAGCTAAAGGGATGAAAAGGCGCAGGCAAACCTGCCAGGCAGGTTGGCAAAACATCTGCAAAGACCTTGAGTGGGGAGGGAACATGGCTGGAATGTTGCCATCTGGGATCACACCAAGGGGTAAGATCCCATGCCTGGCCTCAGAGAGTTCATGCCCCAGTGAGCAAGACAGAGGTAGGCAAAGAATTCCACAACACACGACAAAGCCTGTGAGATACATAGAGGAAGAAATGGATCTGCCTGATCAAAATGGGACTTTGATGACAAATCATCTCTGCGAAAGGTAGACGAGATGACTGAACAAATTTCCACCCACCTGGTGAAATCATCAGGCTATGGTTTCAATTCAGAGAACTGAATCTAGTTTAAACAGAAAACAGTACATTTCTGAATCACTGTGCTGAAGAAAACAGGCTCTAGGTGGCAGTTTGAGGAAAGACACTCACTGCCAGTGACTGGCTGATTGGTTTTTCTCCTTTTCTCAGTAGTTACCTGAACATCATTATCCCAAGACCACCCCATCAGGAGGAGGCTGCTTACTGTGCTTCCCTAGAAACACACCGGCCTTGCTACCATCTACCCTAGCACAGACAAATGTCCACATTCAGCCTCCTGGCATCCAACCAATGACTCATGGTTATCTTTGCTAATACCAGCATGGTGATATCCACCTTGTCTGCATGGTACTGCTGGCAGGAAAGGAGCAGTGGCAGAAGAGTGTTACTTCTACCTTCCCAAGAGTGTGTAGGATTGGCTGAATCTAAATCTCTGTGGAAGCTCAGCTGCAGAGCTGTCTGAAAAGGTCATGATTAGCTCTTCAGCCTGTGTTAGACAGCAGTGTGCACTGGAGGGTGACAGGACATCCCACTCCAGTTTGCTGGTAGCACAAATGCCACAGCAAGTGTTCTGGCACAGATCTCTTCTGGACTTGTGTGAGAACTTTTTTTGAATTCTTATTCATGGGCAGAACCCTCAGACATGACCGAGTTTCGTCAGATTGCTTGGGGAGCAGAAGAGGAGGCTATGTTCATACCAGCAAAGTAAAATATTCTTGTCCTTTATTTCTACCTCCAGTTTGAAATTATATGTCTTGATAAAATGTGTCAGCATATTGGTGTCAGGTAGTAGTTCATTGTTTTAATTTGCATATCTCTCTGAAGACTGGTAGGCTTGAAAGAGTTAATTTAAACTTGGAGGTATGATAGACATTGTGAAATGACAGGAAAACACTCAAGGGTAAAGGACAACTGGGATGTGGGAAAAGAGAAGGGAAAGAAGGAGAAATTTTGTATGTATGTATACACAGAATAGTTAACATAGTTGTTCTACTGCCTTCTATTTCTTTGCTGAAAGAAACTGTCAATGAGTCCTTGATTGATCAATATTGCATGTCTCTGTTTTCATGAGAAACCACTTCGAAGATATCAATATGTAATACAACAAGCATTGCTAATTTCCTACCACTTTGTTTGTAACTCTGTATTGTCTGTACTGTTCTTTTGCTATTTTGTATAAGGTTGTCTGTCTGTTAATATTTTCCTCCTTTTATTTTTAAAATAAAAAAAAATTTTAAAAAACCACTGGTAAGCTTGAGCTTTGTTTTACATATTAGCTATATGACTTTTTTTAATCTCTGAATTACTAATTTTAATCTTTTGTCAATTTTTGTTTTAGTTTCCAGGCCCTGTTGACTTTGAATTTTTGTCTGTTTGTTTGTTGTTTGTTTGTTTTGGTTTTTTGGTCTTTTTGAGACAGGGTCTCCCGCTGCTGGCTGGCCTTGAACTCACTTTGTAGACCTGGCCGGCCTCAGACTTGAAGGGATCCTGCTGCTGCTTTACCCTACTGAGTGCTGGGATTACAGGTGTGCGCCACCATGCCCAGTGACTTTAAGCTTTTTGTGTACTCACTGCATTAACAAATTCTTTGTTGGCTGCAAGTGTCACAAATATTTTTATCCTAGTGTCCCAGAAAGTTTTAACTGTTTTTATGATTAAACTTTTTTTTTTCTTTTAGACAGTCTTATTTTGTTGCCTGTGCTGGCTGCAAACTCCTGGATTTAAATGATCCTCTTGCTTCGGCCTTTAAAGTGCTGGGACTAGAGACACACACCACCTGTGTCTCATTCCTATGATTAACTTGTATGTATCCAAATGCATCACACTTATTGTTTGTCTATTGGTCTTTTCCTGACCCTGGTCACAGTTATCTTTTTACATCGGCTATATGTTTACTTTCAGGTATTAATATTCATTCTCTTTCTCTCTCTTCTCCTCTTTCTCCTCACTATGTAGTTCTGTTTGGCCTTGAACTCACTACATAGTCCAGGCTGGCCTCAAACTCTCAGTAATCCTCCTGCCTCAGCCTCCTGAGTGCTGGGATTATATGTGTGCATTACCACACATGGTCTCAGGTATTGATTCCAGAAAAGTGTATTTTTGTGTTGGACAAAATGTTATTGTCAGATTTTATTTATTTGTTTTCCAGTTTTATAAGGTAGCCAGCCCCCTGGAGCCCCATGAAGGACCCAGGAGGTTCTGGGAAGTGTATGTTCCACCCCCAGCCATCTGAAGATACCAGGAAAGATCATGCCTCAGCAGTTTAATCCCATATGCTCTTCTTTGGGGCCAAATTGCGTCATCTTTAGCTTCCTTGGCACAGGAAGATCTTCATACACTGTATGTTCTCATCCTCTCCTGAGATCTCAGGTCAGAAGAGTGGAGAGAGATTTAAAGGTAGGCACATTGCAAAGGTGTGAAAATGGAAACCATCAGAAGTGCTGAAATATGAAATGGCTTTCAGGTTACTATCCAGAAAAATCCTAACTTGTGTGCAAGTTTGGATTCACATCTAGTGCAGTCCCAGTTTCTATGATGCTATCAAATTCATAGACCTTCTTGCAAAACCCATATCTCCACATCTGAAGATACCAGCAAAGATCACAACATGCAGAGTCCTTGAGAAAATGCAAAAATGTAGAGACTGTTCTGCGCCTCTTCAACCTTTTATCTTTGTGTTGCTATTATTTGATTTTGTTTTTAAGAAATGGAGTCTCTCTCTATTGCCCAGCTGCCTCCCAACTCTTGGGCTCAAGCAATCCTCCAAGTTCATCTTGTGAAGTGACTGGGACTACGGCACACTCCAACACCCGCTAACTCCCCATCACCTTTTGGTAATAGTAGTAGCTACAGGCGATCCAGGAGGATCTTGGGATATAAGCAGAAGCGGTGACTGTCGGCATTCTCTGGGCTTCTCTCTGGAGGCAGCCACATCTGACACTCTGCAGGTCATTAGAGAATATAAAAGATTCATTGTCTGAAGCTGTTTTTGCATCTTCCTTTCATATTTATGGAGAATCTCAGCATCCCCCGGGGCACATGCTCAGCATAGGTGTTACCACATTGATCTTAGCCCCCAGCTTCCTTGGGGCCACTTTGGTCTGGATGCTGTGGATCCCAAACATGTCAAGACACTGGGCCAAGACACAAGGGCCACCCTGCTCTTCCTTTCCAAGTGGCCTGAGACGGATGAGGTAAAAATTGTGTTTGCAGAATGTGAAATAGGAATCTGAATACATCATATTAATATGGTGATGCACCATATTAAGATGTTTTGGTCAAGAATGGAGGGCAGGTATGATAACAGTCCCATAAAAGTATAATAAAGCTAAAAAAATTCTTATCAACTTGTATTGTTACTTTGTAGTTTGTGGGATTCATTGTGAATAGATACATAAAATCCACACGTTTCTAGAGTAGACAGTACAGTAATATACTACCAGGTTTTAGTCTAGCAACACTAAGCTATTCCAGGTAGCCTAGCTGTAGTAGGCTACCCTATCACAGTTATTCACTGCTGTAAAGTAATACTGCTTCTTCACTGGATTCTAGTCTTCTCATACAGGTATTTTGCTCTATATATCAAAGTTAAATCAATGCTTCTTTGA